TATATTTTTATTTATTTATTTATTTATTTATTTATTATTATGTATATTGATTATTAATTAAAATAACAACAGTTTTTAGATCAAACACATAGAGTTTTAATTAAAGATAGTGGTGATAATACACTTCAATTACAACCATTTAAATGTGTTAGTGTGTACAATAGTAATAATAATAATAGCAATAATGAATATTTAATAGAAGAAGAAGAAACAAATAGTAAAGAAAGTGATGATTTAACAGATGAAGAAGATTATAGTAGTGGTTTAATTTTAAATTCATCATTCAAGAGATCATTATCATCAATTCCACAAATTAAAAAAAGTGGTGGAAATAGTGTTTTAAAGAAATCATCATCAATGATTACCTTAGTACCAAGTGATTGTGCACTTTATTTATTTAATGATACATTATTATTAGGTACTTCACAAAACAATAATAATAATAATAATAATAATAATAGTAATAATAATAATTGTGGTAATAATGAGGAATCAAATAATAATAATTATAATAATATAAACAATAGTAATAACAATAACAATAATAATAATAATAATAATAATAATAATAATAGTAATAATAATAATAATAATAATAATAATAATAATAATAATAATAATAATAATAATAATAATAATAATAATAATAATAATAATAGTGGTAATGTTAAATATAATGTTGTTTTAAAATCAAAATTAGTTGAAACTTTTATTAAAGATTATCCCAAATTAGCACCAACTATATTTTCAATTCATCATAATAGTGGTACTTATTTGATATCTTGTCAAAACATTGAACAGAGAGAATCTTGGGTTAGAGAAGTAACAGAGGCAACAGAGAAATTAATTTCACAAGATAATGAATTGAAAATTAGAAGAACTAAAATCTCATTAAAAGGTAGTGATGAGTATGGTTGGTATGCATTCGATTCAGAATGTCAATTACAAGATGCAAATTTAATATCTCGTTCACTTCAAGAGTTGGAGAAAAATCAAGTCTTCACTCCAAAGAAACGTAAATCAATGATTGGTAAAGTTAAACAAAGAATGTCTAGCGCTCTTTCCTCTCCTCATAAAAACCAAAATGTAAAAAGAAATTCTTCTTTCGTTTTAAACTCTTTATGTAATTATGATTAAATGAAAGAAGTAATTAGGTTTTAAAAAAAAAAAAAAAAAAACATTAGAAAAAAAAATTCAAAGGAGAAATACAAAAAAAATACAAAGAAAAAATTAACCATACTTTTTGGTTGAATATATATTTAATGTTAAGAATAAAAAGTTAATTCTTTTTTTCAAATAATCTTTTGATGGTTTTTTTTTTTCCTATTAAAGAGTCTGAAATTTTTAAAAAATAAGCCTATTTATTATTGTATAAAAAAACTCCTTTTGCTAAGTGTCCAGACTTTCTATGAATTGAGCTGGTCCAATATTTATTGAACCTCTTTTTTTTACCATGATAAGACGCCAGGTCCAATGGCGGGTGATTCTGCGTGGAACCCCTTTTCACACAATTTTTTTTTACCTATGATAAGACGCAAGGTCTATCGGTGGTGTTAATTAAATAAATTATTTTATTTTATTTTTTTTTTTTTTTTATAAACATGGTTGTATCCATGAGAAATGTTTTTTATTTAATAAAGTTGGAAATGTGATATTGTGGTTAGGGATACCTCTGAGGTTGTCAGTGGTATACGAAGTTGACAATGTGATAGGTGTTTGGAGGTGCGGCTAAGGCAGTGTTTAGGGTGCGGCTGAGGCAGTGTTTGGGGTACGACTAAGGCATTGTTTGGGGTGCGGTTAAGGCAGTGTTTGGGGTGCGGCTAAGGCAGTGTTGTTTACTTTAAACCCCTTTTTTTTTTTTTTTTTTTTTTTATTTTTTTTTTTTTATAATATTATTGGGATTAGAATTTCTAATCACCATGTTTTTTGTTGTTGTTTTTTTGGAAGTCGAGCTTTTTTTCCGGTTGATTATGAGGTGTGTTATTTATGACCACGTTACTTCGTGGTATGACCTACGGCTCAAACCAAAGCCACGGAGACTGTGTGATTCAGCGCAGAACCACTACGTATAGCCTCCAATAATGAGGGTTTAATTATGACCACGTTACTTCGTGGTATGACCAAGACTCGATCCCGAGGTCTTGACCACGGAGGCTTGTGATTCAGCGTGGAACCACTACGCTAAGCCCCCGGACCCTTTTCAAAACATACCCCTGTACAACCTTCCCCTAACAAGTGTCGAACCCACGACCATTTGTTTTTTTTAAAAAAAATTTGTAAGCTAAGGGATTCGAACCCTTGTATCAATGATATTGCAGCCTTAATGCAACCCCTTAGACCAGCTCGGGCAAGCTTACTTTACTGAAATTCCAAAAAAAAACAGATAAATTTTTATTCCACATTTTTAGGTTGTGCCACTTTCAAATGTTAACACCCGTATCAAATATCATTATTTGTAATTAACATCAAAAATCACCAACCACACGACACATTATTTCTCATTTGTGTACAGATTACAAACAACTATCAACAATTCATTTTTTCAAATTCATTTTGATACTCTTTTTTTTTTAGAATAAAGGAAATTTTGCAAAAAAAATCCGGCTTTTAAAAAAAAAAAAAAAAAAAAAAAAAATGAAAAAAATTAAAAAAAAAAAATGAAAAATAATTAAAAAAAAATAATCAAATTAAAATATCAAACTAAAAATATCAAAAAAAATATCAACCCCAAAGTATCAATTCAAAAAGGTGCTGGTTTGAATGTTAACACAAGTATCAAATATCACTGTTTGTAATTAACACCAAATGTTACCAGCCAGATAAAGACACATTATTTCCCCTTTGTGCCACACACTCAAAACATTAATTTTATACATTAATTGAGCCTGTAAAAAAAAAAAAACAATAAACACGAGTCCTATTCTCGAGGAGAGACAGCCTAAAAAACTGTGATATTCAATTTAAAAAAAAAAAAAAAAAAAAAAAATATTCCACATTTTTATGGTTTCACACTGAATAACAAGAATTTCTCCGTGGCCTTGGTTCAAGTCTTGGTCATACCACGAATAAACGTGGTCACAGAAAAAATTAAATTAAAATAATTAATAAATAAAAACATGATTCGAATACATCCAATTGAATGAGGTTATTAAAAAAAAAATTAATCCACAATTAACGTGGTAAAAAAAAAAAAATTAAAATTAAAAATAATTAAAAAAAATATAAACATTATTCGAACAAATCCAATTGTATGAGGTTATTTTTAAAAAAATTTATTCCACTAATCCCTACGGCAACAAAAACAACTCTTTAAATTAATAAATTGAGACTGTAAATTAATAATACTCATAAATCCGGGTTCTATCCCTGAGAAACATCTGTAAAATCCAATTTTTATTTTTAAAAAAAAAAAAAAGATGAAAATCCAACTATCCAGACATCCAGAGGAATACCAATACAAATGGAGGTTTAAACAAAAATGTTTCCACAGTATAAAAAATTTATGAAAACAAAAAATAATAAAATATTGGTCAGAAATTGCGAGAAAATATTAATTTTACATCCAGAGTATATGTTGTACATTTGAAAAGCAAAAAAAAGGAGGATCTGTGGAGGACAATTACGAGAAAAAAAATTGTTTATTTTTTTGATTATTTATTCATACCCATAAAAACTAAACATTTTTTTTTTTTTTTTGACAATTTTCATCCTTTAAAAATATTTTTTGTAATTATTATTATGAAAAATATAAATAAATTATTTTGAAAGTCATTTTATAATTTACACCATCCTTAAACTTAAATAAAAACTCAAGTTCAGATTCATTTTCAATACCATTGCATCAACAACAAAACTGGATTTTGAATTTTATGGATCACTCGACATTTTGGTATGCCCCGGAATGACGCAGCTATATTTCAGGACCAAGACTCTTTTTTTTTTTTTTTTACCTATGACTTTTTTTTTTTTTTTTTTTTTTTTTTTTTTTTTAATATTATTGGGATTAGAATTTCTAATCACCATGTTTTTTTTTTTGTTGTTGTTTTTTTTTGGAAGTCGAGCTTTTTTCCGGTTGATTATGAGGTGTGTTATTTATGACCACGTTACCTCGTGGTATGACCTAAGGCTCGAACCAAGGCCACGGAGACTGTGTGATTCAGCGCAGAACCACTACGTATAGCCTCCAATAATGAGGGTTTAATTATGACCGCGTTACTTTTTTTTTTTTTTTTTTTTTTTTTTTTTTTTTAATATTATTGGGATTAGAATTTCTAATCACCATGTTTTTTTTTTTGTTGTTGTTTTTTTTGGAAGTCGAGCTTTTTTTCCGGTTGATTATGGGGTGTGTTATTTATGACCACGTTACTTCGTGGTATGACCTAAGGCTCGAACCAAGGCCACGGAGACTGTGTGATTCAGCGCAGAACCACTACGTATAGCCTCCAATAATGAGGGTTTAATTATGACCACGTTACTTCGTGGTATGACCAAGACTCGATCCCAAGGTCTTGACCACGGAGGCTTGTGATTCAGCGTGGAACCACTACGCTAAGCCCCCCTGTCTCTCCCCCGGTCCTGTGACTTTTTTTTTTTTTTTTTTTTTTTTTTTTTTTTTAATATTATTGGGATTAGAATTTCTAATCACCATGTTTTTTTTTTTTTTTTTGTTGTTGTTTTTTTTGGAAGTCGAGCTTTTTTCCGGTTGATTATGAGGTGTGTTATTTATGACCACGTTACTTCGTGGTCTGACCTAAGGCTCGAACCAAGGCCACGGAGACTGTGTGATTCAGCGCAGAACCACTACGTATAGCCTCCAATAATGAGGGTTTAATTATGACCACGTTACTTCGTGGTATGACCAAGACTCGATCCCAAGGTCTTGACCACGGAGGCTTGTGATTCAGCGTGGAACCACTACGCTAAGCCCCCCGGACCTGTGACGCAGCTATGTTCAGGACCAAGATTCGAACCCTTGATTATTCTAGGGTTTTTAGAAAAAATGTCAAGTCAGAGGATCGAACTCTGGACCTTAGGATTATGAGACCTACGCTCTACCAACTGAGCCAACCTGACTATTTATTGAAATTTTTGTAATAAATGTACTCTATGGTTTGACTTGGTTTTAGGTATCTTTGTATTTATGTTTTTATAATCTCTACAATCTTTATTTTATTTATTTAATTTTTATATTTGTTTTATTTTATAATTATTTATTTTATAGTTATTTGATTTCTTTATCTTTATATTTTAATTTAATGATTCACACTTTAATAATTAACACTTTAATAATTTTACTTTATAATTCACTTTATTATTTTACTATTTGATTCACCTTCTAATTTACCTTTTTAATTCACTTTTTTATTTCACGATTTGAACTGAAGAAAACATCTTGTATTTATAGTGCCTTAAATGAGTTGTCAATGTTACATCAATTATTTTGACACATGTTTATAAATTATTGTAATTTTACAAATTAATATAAAAAGAGTGGTTCTAATAAATATTTACAAATTTCTATAATTATCTAAATTAGTGTAAAAGAGAGTAGTACTATCGTTACATTTCTCCCTTTTTAAAAACTTCTTTAATCTGTTGATGTTGATGACATTATGATGTTGATAAGATTTTGGAAATTCAATTTTGAAAGTGAGATTAGATTTCTTTTCTAAAATCTTGAAAGGACCGACAAAGTCAATACCTATTATATAAAATACATTTTTAAAATAATCTAATAAAGCATTATAAAACATTTCTTTCTTAAATTTTTGACTAAATAATTCACTAATGAATTTGATAACATTCTTATTTATATAATATCTAAAATATTTTATACTTTCAATAATTGCTAAACTTTCTTTTTTAATTGTAGAATAATTTGATTCAACATTACGTAACCTTGAAAAATAAGAAACAACACGACTATCTTGAATTAATTTATCTCCCATAGCATAATCAGAAGCGTCTATTTTGATTACATTGTTATTTGTATCGATCGGAAAAGAAATGACATTTGATTTTGACAATTTATTTATTAATTCTTTTCTTTTTGCTTTCATAGTTTCATTCCAAATGAATATTTCATTCTTTCTTAACATTTGATATAAATCACGAGTATAATTATAATTCTTAATTAATAATCTAAAATAATTTGTATAACCTAAAAAACTAACTAACTCCTTCATTGTCTTATTTAACTTTTTATAATTTCCACAAAATATTGTTTTACTATTTTGCTCAACTAAAACGACTGAATCAATGAATTGAGTACTATCGGATTTAACTAATATACCTTTTTCTAATTTTTCATTTATTGATGATTCAATAAATTCTTTTTCTTTTTGAGAAGTTTTATATGCTGGAGTATACGCTCTAGTATTATCATCACTTAATTTGATTTCATGTTCTATTAAATCAATTTTATCTGGTGTTGATATTTTGATTTCAAATGATTCATTATGATCAATAATTAATTTCTTGATTTCATCGTTATTAATATTATCAAGTGTTTCTTGTTTCAATCCACATACAATTGTATTAGCAGTTGAACCAGAATTTCTTTCAATTGGTTGTGAACTACCTGTTTGTGGACAATATATTCTACTTTCTCTTGTTTCAATACTGATACCTAATCCATCGAGTACTGTCAAGCCATAAATACAATTATCTTTTAATGAATTATCATTGACAATATGAAATTGACATCTATTTGTTGAATTACCAAGTGATACAAATGCACTAACTGAACCGATAATTGGAACTTGTTCACCAGTTGCTGTTGAAACTTTAATATTTGAATTTTCCCAAACTAAATTTAATCTTTTTGCTAAACTTGACCATAAAACTGAAATTGAAGCACCTGAATCAATTAAACCTTTAACTTGAATACCATTGATGCTTAAGTTAGCAAATAATCTACCATCAATTGAATTAACTGAATTGTTATTATTATTATTTGCATTATTATTATTATTATTATTATTATTGTTATTATTATTATAATTATTATTATTGTTACTTGAATTATTATTATTATTGTAATTATTATTATTATTATTATTATAATTATTATTATTATTATAGTTATTATTATTATTATTATAATTATTATTATAATTATTGTTTTGATTATTGTTATTATTATAATTATTATTATTGTGATTGTACAATGTATTGAGATTCTTATTATTGTACCAACATTCTGATCTGATGTGACCTGTCTTTCCACAGTTGTGACAAACTTTATTTTTAATATTATTATTATTAAATCTATTATTTCTGAAATTATTATTATAGTTGTTGTTGTTATAATTGTTGTGGTTGTTATTGTTATTATTGTTATAATTATTGTTATAATTATTATTTCTATTATTATTATTAAAATTATTATTTTTTTGTCTTATTGTATTTACAGAATTATTTGAACCGTCTGCATTAGAAGAAGAAGATGATGATGATGATGATGTTGATGAGGGTGGGTAATTTGATGTACCAGAAGAAGGTAAGGATAATGGAGAGCCATTCTTAACTGGTGTTGAATATGGAGATTCATAATTACTATCAAAATAACCACTTTCATTTAAATTATTATTTCTGTTATTATTATTATTATTATCTATTGTAGTATTATCATTTGAAAACTTTTGATCTACTAATTTACCATTAAAGAATGATTTACCGTATGCTTCAACACTTGCCAACTCGATTCTTCTTGCCAATTCAATTGCAGATTTAACATCTGGTATGAGATGTCTTGAGATTTCATATTTAAATGTTGATGGTAATGAATCAGTGAAAATTTTAATTAATTCCTCTTGAGAAATATTGACACCATCTATCTCTTTTGCTATTAAAAATTTTGCAATTAATGATTCCAAACTATCATATTTTGCTTTTGAAAATTGAAGTAATTTCTCTAATTGTGTTACTTCTTTTGTTTTATAAATCTCTGTAAAAGTTGTTTGAATTTCTAATAATGTATTTGCATCAGTTGATTTTCTTAAAAATAATAATGCTGCATCACCAGCTAAATGTTTAAAAAATTCACCTTTTGATGGATTGTTACTGTATAATAATTTAAAACCAGCTAAAAATTCTGTATATGATATTGTATTTGGTTCGCCAGAAAAAATAAATTTTTTACTGGTCATTTTTTTAAAAATTTAATTTTGATTTTTTTTTTTTTTTTTTTTTTTTTTTTAATTTAATTTAATTTGACTTGATTTGATTTGATTTAAATTAATTTTTTTTTTTTTTTTTTTTTTTTTTTATAATTCCTTTTCTCTCTTTTTTTTTTTTTTTTTTAATTAACTTGATTTAATTTCTATTCTTTTGATTTATATTTTAATTTATTTATTTATCACTCTATTCTGCTATTATTTATTTATAATGAGATCTGCCAATTTAACGACAATTTATTATACTATTTACCAATTAACAATTTATAACGTATTTCTTTTTTTTTTTTTTTAATATATATTTTATTCTTCTCTTTTTTTTTTTAAAATTTTCAAATTTTCTCTTCTTTTTTTTTTTTTTTTTTTTTTTTAATTAATTCTAAATATCCACCGGAAAAAAATAATCTACCCTGACGTATTATAATAATCTAAAGCGAAGCTTTTGCCGCAATGTCGCCAAATGTAATAAATGTACTCTATGGTTTGACTTGGTTTTAGGTATCTTTGTATTTATGTTTTTATAATCTCTACAATCTTTATTTTATTTATTTAATTTTTATATTTGTTTTATTTTATAATTATTTATTTTATAGTTATTTGATTTCTTTATCTTTATATTTTAATTTAATGATTCACACTTTAATAATTAACACTTTAATAATTTTACTTTATAATTCACTTTATTATTTTACTATTTGATTCACCTTCTAATTTACCTTTTTAATTCACTTTTTTATTTCACGATTTGAACTGAAGAAAACATCTTGTATTTATAGTGCCTTAAATGAGTTGTCAATGTTACATCAATTATTTTGACACATGTTTATAAATTATTGTAATTTTACAAATTAATATAAAAAGAGTGGTTCTAATAAATATTTACAAATTTCTATAATTATCTAAATTAGTGTAAAAGAGAGTAGTACTATCGTTACATTTTAAAATAATCAGGTATATTTCGTTTTTATTTAACAGATAAGTTTTATTCCACATTTTTATGGTTTCACACTGAATAACCCAGCCTCCGTGGCCTTGATTCAAGTCTTGGTCATACCACGAAAAAATGTGGTCACAGAAAAAAAAATTTAAATTAAAATAATTAATAAAAACATGATTCGAACACATCCAATTGAATGAGGCTATTAAAAAAAAAATTTGGTCTTTATAATGGAAAAATGTTAAATATGTGATATTGTCTCTGTAGTAATATCCAATTTAAAAAAAACCGAGGAGAAACATCTTAAACTATAATATCCAATATAAAAAAAAAAAAAAAAAAAAAAAAATGATACAGTCTCTGTATATGGAAATAATAACCGATTAAAAGGTTCTTAAAGAGAGAACACTTTTTGACTTAATTGTAAGTCACTTCTCATCGGTTATGAAACCTTAAAATCTCTTATCAATTTCATACACAGAGAAAACTAGATCATTTCAAATCAGAATAGATTGATAAGAATTAAATTCCATTTTTTAAAAAATCATAATATTTAATAAATTCTATTATATATAAATAAATAAATACAGGTGTAAAAAAAATTTAAAGATGAAAAAATAAAATATAATTATATTTTTGGTTATTTGGTCATATTCTTGTTACAATAATAAAATTTATTTCTTTAAAGTTTATTCGGAAAGAAAAGAAACGTCACAAAAATAACGTTTACAACCAAAAGGTTTTACTGGAAAAGAATTTACTCTATAACCTTTTGGACATATAGGAGTTGGGGTTTGAGTACATTCTTCAATATATATATTTGTATTGTTTTCAATACATCCACTGAAATATAAACATCTTGAATAATCACGATGAAAAGTTGGTATTAATGAATCATTATTATCCTTTGAAGATGAATTTTCTTTATTACCATCTTCATCACATAAGTTTGTATAATT